ACGAGGAGGTGAGGTGGGAGTATGGGTTGAGGCGAACTCCATCTGGAAGATTTGTCAGGGGGAAAATGCGGCCATGGAGATAGGAGTGTGAGATGAGTTGAAGGAAATGTGTATGTGAGTGTGATCATGATCATGCTCCGTTCCATTATTCAGCCACTGCTTGTGTGTCTTTTGCATTTGGGCCCACGTCTCTCTCATTGCATAGTTCCAAAATTGGTTGTTGGTCACATGTTCTAAAGTTGAGGCGTATTTCACCCTGCACACACTTTTTTTTTTTTTTTTTTACACATCTGTGTGCGCTGGCTGAAAGGGATTTTGGCTGTAGAAGCTCACCCAAATATGCGTACACGTGTGCGCACAAGTTGTACTGTTGAATCCGTGAGGTGTGGAAACGTAATCATGCAGTTGAACTCACGGTTGCTGTACCAAACCCAGTGAAGTTTTTTAACGTTTCATTATTGTGCTTTTTGTAAAAGTTCCTTAAAGTTTCTTAATTTTTTTTTATGTTGCTCTTAATTTGTAAGACAAATGTTTTTATGGTTATTTTTAAGACCGTTTTGTGCAATCTTATGTTTTTCATTTGTGCACTGTTACTTCAGTGCTTAGAACAAATATTACAGTGTTGCATAGCTTCACAGCTTCACTCTCCAAAGTTGAATACTGTGAGGGGGACACGTAATTTCACTAACCTCACCCTGAACACTAGCTCCGTCAGTATAAAAGTACAATAAACAGCTGAGAAATATCTGGGACCACTGTAGGACATCAGTTGACATTCAGAAGTCAAAGAGGAGAATAGTTAGCAGGTCTTATTTCGCATGACGTATGACCGCTATACAGCCCACATTTGGGTCTGTATAGCAGGAACAAAGCCTTTCCAGTTCATTGTTCCATCTTTAGACATGACTGGATTGTTTACAGCTGGTGAAATCATTATCTTTGAGATTTTGAGTTGGATAAAGTATTTTTATTGCACTTTATTCACTAATTATATGATTTACCATCTAAACATGTAGATGTTTCCCCTTGATTATCATATAGATCTACAACGGTTGAGTGTCTAGTTGCAACTGTCTGCATGGATGTTAATAGTTTGTTGCAAAGTGACATTCTAAAATTATTGTGGAAGCACGAGAAAGTAGGATATACTTAAACGTATAATATAATAAAATCTGTTTAATATTTTAGTATAGCTTAATTTATATGAAGCCAGGTAGACAATCTTTTGATGCATGCAGTCATAACACAAGTCCAAAGGCTGATGAAACTACTGAATGTGAAAGAAGATATCGAGAAGTAGCTGCCATCAGTTTAACTGTGCACTGTCCCAAAGATTGTTCCAAAATGATACTTGATCGGTGCAGTTTAGAGCAGCAACATAAGGTCATTTTCATGCCGATTTTATCTTTTCTGATAAAGGTTTAGTGTATGAAACCTTAATACAGGGGAAAAAATGTGCATCATAACTTCCAAGAGCCTAAAGTGATGCTCCCAATATCTAGTTTTGATCAACAAAGTTTGAGAGAAAACCAGCAATCCTCTGATCCTAGAGAACATTTGGGACTTTTTTTTCCATAAACATTGCTTTAAAACAATGAATGATAGAATTGATTATCATGATATTTGCTGTTTGTTTTTGTTTTTTTTTCTGTTAATATATTTTTTTCCATCTCTGCTTCAGTTGGGCCAAAAAGAAAGTTGACAGTTAATAGTGCAATTTTTATCTCATGCTGTTGCAGATATGAAGACCTAAATTCCAAAAAGCACTCGTGTGTAGATTTGAATTGAATCTGGGTCAAATAATTAAATGTAGGTGAAAATTTGCAGTTCTACCACACACACGGACTGACGATATAAAGATTGTACGGATCAAATCTGGATATGTGCAACGGAAGTGTGGTTAAAAAGTGCTTATAAACACTGAGTATATAGAAAAAGTTGCCCTGTAAGTCCTAGAGGGATGACACTGGAGACATTTACATGGAGGAATATTAATTAGTAAGTAAACTGGATCGTAACTGTCCTTTGACCCAGGGGAGCGTGAAAAGTAGGGCACTTGTTTTTGTCTGACCTGCATGTGGGAGGTTCAGCTTTAAGACCCATTTCACCTAAACATTGTTTATTTGAATGTAATTTATTTGCCATTGATTTACATTTGTGTTCCACAATCAGTTATTTCCTGTTCCTCTCTGTATGTTTACATGTTTGTACTCTGTTTTGTTGTGGCACCGTTTGAGTTTTCTCAGACTTTTATCACCTTGATTTTTTTTTTTTTTAAATTTATGCAGTATTTATAAGACTAGTACTGCATTCTGTTTGCAGCCACTTCGTACTGTTACTCTCATTTTAGCTGCACAAGTGTTGGCATACTGCCTGGCTGTGTGCTCACAAGCATAGAAGAATATTTTGTCATACTTCCAGATTTCACAAAAAATAAAATTCTTGTGTTAAAATCATTGTCTTGTTCGTTTTTATGATTTTTGTTTCCATTATTTCCTTTTGTTTACTTTCTTCTCTGACCTTTCAAGTCTTAATGTATACAGAGATTCTTTTACCGTTTCGTTCACCACCATTCCTCCTGTATCATCATACATTTGATCTCTGTTGTCATCTGTGTGCCATTCCCTTTGTCTGTAGTTCAACAGAAAAAAAACACCAGCAGGTACTGTGACTTCGTCTGTTACCGGTTCTAACCAAATGGAAGATGTTTAAAGATGTGAGGTGATTGATATGTAGTCATTCATAGTGGGCACATCCTATATGTCAAATCAAGTTTGATCTTTAAATCATCCACCCACCCCCGAAATGTATATTTTTAACTTACAAAATGGTAAATGCTGAGTCTTCTGAACATGTTAAAAGAAGTCTACTTAATTCTTAATCATTATAACCTGCAAAATAAGATTAAATAATGTTTATTTTTAGAAAAACAAGTGGTGGTTTTTCACCTTAGATGAGAAACAGGTAGAGAGACAAGTTGCAATCAATATACTGTACAGTGTGTTTTGGGTAGTTTCTGTAGCTGTGCAATGTTTGTTCACATGAGCCCTTAAGCACGTGTCTGTCCCTTGGAGTTGCAATCAAACTCATTGGTACGTTGCAGCATTTACAAAATTCCAAATCTGAAAAGAAGTAATTATTCAACAATATGTAGAATCAAAGCACATCTTAAGCAGGGTCATGGAAGAGCCACTTACCCCCAGTCTAAACTGAGAATATGTTTTCAGGGCTGTTAGTTAAATCTTTATTTTGATCTTCTACACAATACTGTATGTCAAAGCAGTAGAATCATATTTTTTTTATTTTGTCAGACCATAAAACACCAGCATGTACATAATAAAAGCAAAATTAGTGTGCATGTGTCACTATCAAATATTTAGATTTAAATGTTTAAGATGGCTTGAATTTCAATTGTGAATATTTTTATCATTAGACATGTCAGCATTTTGATAGGATTAATAGCAAGGCATCACAATTTGTTTTAACAAAAAAGTGCAGTGCAGTGTGTTCTGCTTTTTAGCTGATTGTATTATTTTATAAAACCCCAGGAGCACTTCAGCCCAGCTGCTTCCATCTCTCTTGTCTCTCGTCTAGTCCAAAGAGCTTCAGATTAAACGTCAGTTCCAGGACACCTGTAAGATCCAAACCCGTCAGTACAAGGCCCTGCGCAACCACCTGCTGGAAAACACGCCCAAGTCAGACCACAAGGCCGTGCTGAAGCGGCTGAAGGATGAGCAGACTCGTAAGCTGGCCATCCTGGCCGAGCAGTATGACCACTCCATCAATGATATGCTGTCCACACAGGCTGTGAGTAAAGCAAGGAGACAGTGTTCACTTCACACTCACACCACACCACCACTGCTGCTGTGCCCAGCAGCCTGAGGGTCATCTTGCCTGCCTGCCTGACCATCAGCCGGCTTCCTCCTGGTCCCCCAGTGTTAATCTCCACCTAAATCTACATGTCCTAGTTTTTTACACCATCCTCTTTCCCCACCAGTTCAACAGATCAGTGCAATTCCTCTTCCCAAACATGTTTTTCTTGAATTTCTGGCAGAAGTCATCACTATCTATCGCTGTGTTCTGCCTCAAAAGAAGAAAACTAAGCAGTGATGAATGCTTTGATGAAATCTGACAACTTAGTTCATACGATTGTTAGAATAATGTAAAGATTTAAAAAAAAAATGTGTTGTGGCTTCAGTCAACACCTCAGGACACTAATGTTCAGCCTTATAGTAAGATCTGGTCTATCTTTAAAAGATTACTCCACCAGTTTAGGATCATACTCCTTTAACATTGTCTGACTCAAGGATAGTTTTTTTTTTAAGCATGAAAGTTAATGCAACAGAACCAGATCTCAGACTGTTTTTTTTATTCATACATTCAGCTTCCTTGTCAAAACTTTACTTAAGTAAATGTACTGCTTTGGAGGATCTTGTTTTTTTTTTTAAACATTCAAAAGTAAGATGAGTCCCCTTCCACACTCCGGTCATTTTTGAACAGTTTCTTATTGTTAGACCTAACAGGCCTCTTAGCATGGGAGTCACACACACACTTAAATCCCAGACTTTTAAATGAAACCACAGGAAAAGGGTGACACATAATAAACTATCTCATTCTCTTCTGTGACATAATGACCTGTGCTACTTTAATTACCTGACATGGCGGCGTGCCACCTAAGCTTAATAAGCCAAATCCCTGCCTCCCTTGTTCATCTGCACATCTATACCTGCTGTGGTTAAAGTCTGTGTGGGAAGGTTTCCCACACACTGATTAAACTCAGTCCCAAGGTTATGGACAACAAATGTCTTCTGAAATAACCTCTTTCCTGGAATCAAGCTCTGAGACAGGCATCACATTCACACAGTAGTTCAGTAGGTACTGATTAATTTAGATAATTTTTTTACACTAAAGCAATATGTGTTGCCCACATATCTTATAATGCCAAATCCCTCTTTTTCTGCTTCTTAGCTGCGATTGGATGAGACCCAGGAAGCGGAGTACAAGGTGCTACGGATGCAGCTGCAGCAGGAGTTGGAGCTGCTGAACGCCTACCAGAGCAAGATCAAGATCCACACCGACACACAGCATGAGCGGGAGGTCAAGGACCTGGAGCAGAGGGTGTCCATCCGCCGCGCCCTGCTGGAGCAGAGGGTTAGAGAACCACTTCTATTAAAGAAAAGCTCCTTAAATGTTGTGCAAGAAACCAATGAGTTTTTAGGAATGCATTCAAGCTAATGGCTGATTGCTAACTGGGTATCATTCATTTTCAAAGTGAGGTAGAATTTGACTGCTAATGTTAGCATTAGCATGTCTTCAGATATAACATTTGCTCTGCTGTGCCACTGCATGTTGAGCCATCTACATTTGAAATAAAACCTTCTCCAAAACTACAGTACATTAAAAAAAAACTCTTTCACTATTAAGTCTACTCAAAGCTGTTCTGGAGCTTTTGGTCACATCACATGATCTTCCCCAGCAGATGGAGATCCATTTTGTTCAGTTTGGTACAGCTTTGTTTATCCCTGCAAGGACTCCTTGTCAATGTCATTTAGTTAAGAAACAACATTCCCACCACGGGGAGGGGGGTTTACACGACTGTAGCTCAGGAGGTACAGTAGGTATTTCCACTCAACTGTAAGGTTGGAGGTTCGATCCCTTGCTTCTCAAGTGCATGTGTTAAAGTGTCTTTGGACAAGACATTGAAACCTAAGTTGTGCCGAGTCATATCACCAGTATGTGATTGTTTGTGTGCATGAACAGGTGAATATCATAAAGCATTTTGAGTGTGCAGAAAAGCACTACATAAGTCCACTCCATCCTCTCCCTCAGAAAATAATCAAAAGGTCCAAAACTACTACTATGGTAAGTTTTTGTCAACTACGGTTTCCAAAGTCACGAGAGAACTTTCAGTCTGATGATCTATATTATTAAAACAAGCTCCAGACAAGTTTCACGTTGGCAAATCTGCAATAGTAGGAAAATGTTTGAACATCTTTAATAAACTACAATTTAAAATATATGATCTTGTATTTTCATCAGTATTCTCCTACTCTTTTCCAAGATTGAGGAGGAGATGCTTTCCCTGCAGAATGAGCGCTCAGAACGTATCCGCACCCTCCTGGAGCGCCAGGCCAGTGAGATCGAGGCCTTTGACTCGGAGAGTCTGCGTTTAGGCTTCAGCAGCATGGCACTGACCGGCATCCCCAGCGAGGCCTACCCCAAGCAGGGCTACTCCAACGCACCACCCCCTGGCTCTCGCTCTGCCAGTCACTGGAGTCACGGCATGCACCCACAGAACACACCCGCGCAGCAACACTCCCGCCGCAGCCACAACAGCAGCAGTGGCGGCGTAGGGGACCACAGGAGCGAGTCCTCTTCCTCCCATGGCCTGGGAATGGCCCTGGGGCTGGGGCGAGACGGGAGGGAGGTGCACCACTCATCCCGTTCCTCTGCCTCCTCTTCCTCCTCCTCCTCCTCGTCTTCCTCCCACCACCAGCGGCACCACCTGCCCCAGCACTACCACCACCAGAGCACACCACAGCTGTACCGTGAGCGGGAGAGGGATCGAGATAGAGAGCGGGAGAAGGAGAGGGAACGGGAGTGGAGCGGAGTGCGAGGCTCAGGTGGTGACCTAGCCCACCCACACCCTCTGCCCTTCTCCCATCACCTGCCCTCACGCTCCTCCTCTCAGTCCCTGGCCATGCTACCTCCCCCGCCTCCCGCCCCTCCCACCATCTCTGGCCCATCTTCCTCTTCCTCTTCTTCCTCCTCACAGGGGGGGATATACGGAGGTGGAGGGCTGGGTGTGCGTGGTGCCCCCAGCCTGTTGGCCCTGAGAAACAGCCCCCAGCCTCTGAGGAGGACGGCGTCTGGCGGGGGGCCCGGAGGCGCCGGAGGCAATGATGGTGTCCTGAGCCGAAGCACCTCAGTCACCTCACACATCTCTAATGGCTCCCACCTCTCCTACTCCTAAATGGCAGGAGGAAGAGCGAAAGACAGGGTGGTAACAAGAACGGTGGGAGCGATTTTGGAAGGTAGCTATCACAGGTTGCATCTCAGTACTCTCAGCTTGCCACCTTGCCTTGTGTCCTTTCTGGGACTGATCTCAGCTCTCAGAAAAACAGAGGATTTAGGGACATCGCCACAAAGTGGTCAGTCAACAACAGAGGCAAAGAGAAGACAAACTGACATTATTGAGCTGCACCCTGCTTGTTTAGACTCAGGGTGGGTAGAGAGGGTTTCTCCCATTCTCACAAAGAGGAAGGCATGTAACACCTGTAGTACCGCTGGTTTAAGGTGATATTACATTAAGAAAAAAGGTTTAGGTTTAATGTTTTTCTCATTGTTACGGCCTGTAAAAAGTGAGATGTGTGACAAGAGGGACATTTTGCCTTTTTTCTCCCAGAGCTGCAGCCATGTCTTCTTCTATGATGTTCTGTGCTGGAATGGAGAAAGAGTGAGGACAGGGAGAGGGGAAAAAAAGGAAAAGAATGTTTTTTCGCATTGTGTATGTACTTGTATGTAGTCTGTAGTGTCAAGATATTATCTAGCAAGCACTCGTAACTTGGGCTCCAGAAAAGAAAAAGGGGGAGAATCACAAAAGATACTTAAGTCTCCAGCCTGCTGGAGATGGAAAAACAACTTTTTATTGTTTCAAAATTGTTTTTTTGTATTAAGTGTATAAAAAAATCAAAAACAAGTTGCTTAGAAAGTCACCAATGCCTTTAAGATTCTTAAAGGGAAGTTTTCATTTGATGACTGCAAGATTATTTAAAAGCGAATACACAAAATGTTTGTAAAGATGAGAGAATCTGTTCTAAAAATGCAGCTTGGATCAGGAGAAACATTTGAGTGGACATGTACAAATGCAAAAAAAAAAAAAACTGCTTTCTGGCATCCATGACATATTGAATATATAAACAACATACAGTAGGTGTCTATGGGAGTCACTCCAATGCATGAGATAGATGTACAAAAATAAAAATAAAATAAAAAAAAAATTGTAAACATGACTAAACACATCTGAAATGTACCGTAACGTCCAAGTTTCACTGGCATTTAAGATCACTTGTACCACATTTTTTTTAATCTTTATTGTACATATTTATGGGAACATTAAAAAACAAAAAAGTCATTTGGTTTTATAGAGTAACAAAGATAATGATAGTAATTTTGATATATTCAAATGAGTATCGAATTCAAGATTTAGAGCAACAACTCCAACTGCATTTTCTATAGGTGTCAATATTACCATAACTAATCCTGATGTAATTGTTGTTGTAATCATGTTCACATTTTTCTTGCGAGAAGAAAAGGGCCCACTTTTGACTGTAAAAATATTGGTTATAAAAACTGTTGCATTGTCAGGTATGGTGTGTTCAAGGTATTAATGATTATTAATAAGGGATTATTAATAATTGTTAATGATTTATGTGCGTGTGTTGAGCAGTAAAGTCTAGCTATATTACCACTTTTGTAGAGAAGTTTTAAAAGGCACGCCCCACTGTTCACATGAACTCTGACCTCCTCCTCTGGACTCATAAAAACAAAAGATTTTACAATTGGCCACTGGAATGTAAGTGCTGATTTCCCTTTTTTTTAAATTTGTTTTCAGTTCAGAGTTCAGTTTCCACACAGAACTTCTTGGAGGGGGAGGGGGAGGGGGTTTAGGGAGATGGCAGCTGGAAGTGTGTAAAGAAGAAGAAAACTTGAAAGGACGGATGTCGACTGAGCGGCTGTGAACGTGCACCCTCTTGTGCCGGCGCAGCAGCAGTGACCGGAGCAGCCCGTCCTCACAGACAGACCAATCAGTGTTTAATGATGCTTCTGAGGCCCAAAGGTTCGTCCTTCCTTCTCCTGGGCTCATGTTTACTTGAAGGATATCACAATAACTGGACTTTTTGTTGGTGTTTTTTTTTAATTATTTTAATTGCAAGAAAAAAGAGAAAAAAAATCATCCTGCTGTTTGTATGACTCAGAAACACCAGCTTAAGACAATTCCCTGTATAACCTACTACTTTATGCTCGGTTGGAATCTCAGTGCATGCATAAATTCCTTATATAAACTAAGACTGGTGAGTTCAGGGTGGCCTTTATGTTGGGGAACCAGTGTGGTAGTGTTTGTAGACGTGTCAGTGTCAGAGGCTGTGGCGAGAGCAGGGAGTCTCAGTCTCACGCCTGGAGGAAGGATGAAGATGAAAAAGCAACAACGCAATCTCATCTGATACTTGCAGATTTTTGGGGGGTGGGGTGGGGGGTGGATCCTTATGAATTATTGAAATCAAGCAATTCCAAGCTTGAGGGGGACAGGGAAAAAGGGTTCCAACACATGTATAGGAAAAGAAATGGGGTGCTTTAAACATAATTTTAAAAAATAAATTGATATTAACACATTAACTCATCATAATCTGATGTGCTTTACTCTGATGACATTAAGGTGTTTATTACAGGGCTGTAACTAAATTATTTTAGAGCTAAAACAAAATGGATTCGTTGATTGACTGGAGTTAAATATTTAAGTGATTTTTTTTAAATAAAATTGCCAAACAAAATCTCAATTTCTCAATTGCTGGTTTTCTGTCTTCAGTGATAGAACATCAAGTTATTTATGTGTATTTAGTTATTTAAATTAGTATTTAACATGCTCTACAAGTGTTTATCTGAAGATGATTTTCTTCTTGAGTCTTTTTGTCCGTAAATTGTCAGAAAACTGTTTTTAAAAACATTCATCACAGTTTTTGTCTTGACTAATCGATTAATCAACTTATTTTAAACTCTAGTTTATTTTCTATTAATGATTCTCAGTATATATAGAGATTTATAGCCTGCGGTAAGGTTACGCACACTAATACATACTGAGCTGCTGTGTACTAAATCTGTCTCTGACATCATATTTATGGGCCGACTGGGAGGATCTGTGCGCCCCGCCCTTTAAGATGCGTCTGTCATCTCTCTATTAATGGAAAGTCGTTCTGGCCGTTTTCTGCTGTGCAGATCTGTTCCAGTAGGCCAAGGAACAAAAAAAAACAAAAAAAAACACTGTAGTACATTTTGTGTCGGCCGAAAATCCCAGGAAGGAAAGGAAGCGGACAGGCTCCACCGAGGGAGCCGGAAATGAAAGGGGGTGTCCAAAGAGGAAACCTGATCCCTTTAAGAGCAAGTGGGACATAGCGGTGCGAGAAAAGGAGAGGAGGGGGAGAAGAAAGCGGAATTAAAAAAGAAAAGGAAGAAAGAGACAGGGAGGGAGGAGGGAGAGCGGGCGATAAAAAAAGAAAGATGACATCCTCGCAGCTGAGCGGCCGAGGTGGAGCGATAGGCTGCGGCCCGGCGAGAGCGCCGCTAGCCGGGGTCAGGGCTTGAATCCAACAACGAGGCTTCGACAAACACCCGATTGGCCTATTGGGGGAAATCGGAAAAATAGATTCATAACTTAAAAACAAAGCATGATCTGCTGTGCTACCAGATACGTGTGTTATAACCCATATTCGTTCTCTTGCGTAAAATGCATTTATTTCATGCAGAGTGAGTTGTGTTTGTTGCTAAAGTGTAACACTGTGATATGCGATTTTTTAGTTTTGTTTTGTTTGTGAAAGCAGTTTTGTTGTGCGCTGGTGCGTTTTAGGAAAATTAGCATTGAATGAATTAAAGTTAGAAACCAAAGTCGAAAGGGAACAGGCCGTTATTGGTCCTGGCCTGCTCCACTCCAGCCTGGGTACGGCAGCCTGCGTTGGTCAACAGCTGCGTGCATTTTAATTTACAGCATTAGGCTACCTCATTGAGAAAACCCGGTTTTTGCAGACGACTTTATTCGCGTTTTTCAAGAGAATCCAGAAGCCCGGTGTCTTTGCTGCAGCACGGGCGACTGCTGGCGCCTCAGTCATCGGTGGGCCGATGAAAACCATGCAAAGGCTGCTCTCACCGATCTCAATCAGGAGCTGACTCTATTATCCCCATCGCTGTGGCGCAAAATGGATGCTCCCTGGAGCAACTTCCTCTTCCAGGTGGGCTTGTTGAGCAGGCATCACTGGCCTTCTCTGCTGTTTCTCACTTTACTACGCGCACTTTTCTCACATAGGCCACTCAGTGTACGTGCAGCAGCCCTCACATCTTGTATTGCTTCTTGTAGCACCTCAAGACAATGCTGTGACTAGTGTTTACATTTGGTGATGGCCTTCTTCTTGCTTCTCCAGAATACTCCCACCCAAAACCAAGTGGAGGGGAGCCTCCAATCAGAGCTCATGCCAGTGCATACGAGTTCTCCCCAGACCCCACCCACAGACCACTTAGCACAGCCTCCTTCCACTGTGGACACTGCTGCTCTCAACGAGGAGCCCCTGCCTGGTGAGGGACGCTTCACTGTGCACTTGTAGAGCTGTGAAGAGGAATCAGTTAAATCTGATTTGGATAATCCAGTGCCTGTAGTATAATCAGTCAGGCGATAAAAGCCCAGTGAGCTTTATTTTTTGTGGTTTACAGATGAAAAGACAGGCCACATGGAAGCAAATCATGTCCATAGTGATTTGAAACTTATAAGCAGCTAGTTCTGAAGTTTAGCTACTGTTAATGTAGAAATGTAAACAACTAACAATGAAATATTTTACATAGAAAAGCATCAGTCTGAGCTTAAGTGGTGTGAATTCCCTTCTTAGAATTTTTCAGGAGTCAGTCAACAAAAAAAATTAAAAATCAATAATTTACTGTACATCTTTTTACTGCTTCCAGCTTGTTGGTTATGCTTGCCTTCTGTCATAGAACATCTTTGAAATTTTGAGTATTGTTTGTTTAAAAATATAAAATCACCTTCTTTTTTTTTTATTTAACAGATTTCTTTTTGTCTTTTCTCCCACTTCTGTCTGGTCCAGTGAAGCCAGTGTCTCGACCGGCCCGCATGTCCCATATCTGTGCCATCTGCAACAAGCAGTTCAAGAACAACTACAACCTGCGGCGGCACCAGTCGGTCCACACTGGGGTACGCATGAAGGACAGGGCCAGAGAGCAGGTGGAGGGGGCAAAGGAGGGAGCAGCCGCCCAGGTGGCGGTGGCGGCCCCGTCGGCGATGGCGGTGGGGGCCGGAGGGAGGGCGGAGAGGCCCACTGTTCCCGTCTCCCTGCTACACCTCTCCGCGCCTCCCCTTCTATGGCCACAGGGGCGACAGTACAGGTGGGTCAGGGCCTTGTGGAGATGGCGGTCATCAACATCAAACCTTCAAGCATGTTGTTTCTTAAGCTGACTGACCACATGGATAGTTAAACCATCTGACTGTACATGTATGTCACCTGCTTGGTATACTGTTTAAAAAAAAACTCTCCTGTGTGTTAAATTTAATGAAATGTCCATGTACAGTAATTAGTTCAGGGACCAGTTAATTCTATCCCAGTGTTTGGCACTGGTCCCCAGTTTAAGAAACACTGTGCTAGAAGCCTCCCCACGCTCCCCTGCATGTTCTCTGTAATACGTATAGTGTGAAAGCAGACAAAGACTTAAAATCCAGCGGGAAGTAGTTATTCGAACATGGAAATCAACTGTTAGGGAGGTTTTGCACAGTTCATGTCATAGTACAAGCTGTGTACGTTTGCATGGTTTTAACAAAAAATATAAAAATGTTAAAATAGTTGACAGTGAATGTATTTCTCTTTGTGTATAGAATAATCCATATGTGCAGAAAAACATTTCCCATCTAAATTCTGTAGCGTGTATATCTGCTTGTCTGTTTTGCCTCAGCGCCCTGCAAATCCCAACCCAAATCCAGTGAGAAAGAACCATGCCTGCGAGACATGCGGGAAGGCTTTCCGTGACGTTTACCACCTCAACCGCCACCGCCTGTCCCACTCAGACGAGAAGCCGTTCTCCTGTCCCATCTGCCAGCAGCGCTTCAAGAGGAAGGACCGCATGAGCCACCATGTGAGATCCCACCAGGGTGGAGTGGAAAAACCCTACGTGTGCCCCCACTGTGGCAAAGCTTTCTCCAGGTGATCCTGTGGGAAGGATTAAGTTATCAGATATCTTATAAAATATCAAGAATCAACATGTGCTCTGTTGTTCAAACTGAAAAGGATGTTAGCATCTTATTTAACCTTCTATAGTATTCGAGTCAACACCATGCTTGCATTCAACTTAAGGTCTTTTTCCATTATAGGAACCTACGGAAACGTGTCATACTGAGTAACGCTCATCACGGGTTCTGTGTTTGTTTCTGCCCTCAGCCCACTTTGTAGGTGCATTATAAGAGCTAAATTTTAGCACCCCTCAGGAGGTAGTAATAAAATCCAGTTCAAAGAACACATGAGGGGGGGGGTGTGTGCACACAGAGGAGTCACCTGTGATTGGTTAAATGCCTGTGTCTTTACACCTCAAGCATTAGCATTACAAGTAGGGTGTGCAAATACACTCATTGGTTTAGAGGTAAAACAAGGACTTATACAAGGATATATACATAAATAAATATATAGTAGGTATATTACTTGTATGCTGGGACAAGGAGACGAAATATACATACGTAGATGTTACATTGTCAGACGGCGCAAGGAAACTTTTTTCCTCAAGAGTTTTAAGTCTTGTACCTATCTGTATGGTAAATATGATGCTACATTTAGCAGGTGGTTACTTTAGCTTAGTACCAAGAATGAAATATGATGCTACATTTAGCAGGTGGTTATTTTAGCTTAGTACAAAGAATGAAAACAAAAGGACACAGCTTGTTTGGCTTTGTCAAGTGGTAACAAAATCTTCCTTCTTTCTCAAGGCCGGACCATCTCAACAGTCACGTCAGACAGGTGCACTCCTCGGAGCGACCCTTCAAATGCCCGGTACATCATGTTTACCTTGTGTACATAGCATTGTTGTTTTTTTTTTTGTTTGTTTGTTTGTTTTCTTCAGTCTGTTCATGTTAACGGTGACCATGTTGACATGCACAGTGTAGTAGGTGATCCAAAGGTAATGGCTTGTACAATACGTTCATCATATACCTTCTTCAAATGAACACTGCGAATATTGCTATGGAAACTGATTTGGATACAGTAATGTCTCTTTGAATCAGAAAATATGTAGCAGATATTTCATTGTAATCACACTGTAGTTGTCATGTTTTACATGCAGCAGGTCATATTTACATGAAACATTTCATCACGTGTCATGTTGTGTGTGTGTGTGTGTATAGATATATAACATACATATGAGGTTATTTTCCACAAACATTTGTGCAGTACAGTACATGTGCATAGGATTTTACTTGTATATCTGTTTCACTGATACCATCCTTTTTCCAGACCTGTGAGTCCAGCTTTGCTACGAAGGATCGTTTGCGTGCTCATATGGTTCGACATGAGGAGAAGGTCCCCTGCCACATTTGTGGAAAGCTCCTGTCTGCTGCTTACATCACAGATCACATGAGGGTGCACAATCAGTCACAGCATCATGCCTGTCATCTCTGTAACCGCAGTAAGTACTCTTGCTTTGCTGTACTACTCAACTCTGCAAATCTCCTCTGCTCTGTGAAACTTGTCTGTTGTGACTTAATCATCTGTCTTTAACTTTCTAGTTACATCACTTGGAACACATTTGGCCTGTCTTTCACTTGTGGCTGCCTGCTTTGCATATTTAAGATTGGACATTGTTTTATCATGTGTTGTATTGTATTGGTGACTGTGTAGTTTCAAATTTTCCTGGGTCTCACTTTGTATATGAGGACTAACAGAACTACTCCTATGGCAACTTTATCTCTCAGTGAAATAACTCCTGACTCTCCTGTCCTCCATCAGGCTTCACCACATTGACATACCTTCGTGTCCATGCCCAGAAGCACCATGGCCAAGAGTGGAAGGACAGTCCGGGTGGATTTGGTGGCACAGCCTCTAGCGGCGTACTCGTCTGTCACTTGTGCGGCGTCCACTGCAAGACACCCACCCAGCTCCAAGGGCACATGGGCACCCATGGCAACAGCCAGGGTGCCCCGAGCCCTGTCACCTCTAACGTGGCTGCCAGCAGCTCTGTCTCCCTTAGCAGCATGGTGACAGCGCCGACTGTTTACGTCACTGGTAATACAGTGGTGGACCTTCTTGTCACAGACTGCTCTAGCATTGCAGCACCACAGCCCCACAGTTAGCAGTAGAGAGATCAGTAATAGTAGGTTGAAGTCACTCGTAGATGCTGATCCAGTTTCAGTTTCGTCATGTCTTCTTTTACAGATAAGGTTAGGATTTTAAGGTGGGGGAGATTAACAGCAGGAGGGAAGAAAGAGTTGTACTGACAAAGCAACAACATCATGGAAAGAGACTGTGGCTGCAGTGGGTTCGTTGACACTAACGGCAAACATGGATGTGTTATCAAAGTACTCCTGAATACTCCTGTGCATTTAAGACTCCATTGAAATTGTGGTATTGTGATCATCTACTGTATTACTCTCCACTCTCAACCCTGACATTGGCTGCTGTCTGCAAGTACACCAAGTACTGTATATCTCACACCAGCTCTGATCTTACCTCGATTTTGCAGTTCACTTACTAAGAATCCAAATGGTTTGCATTTAAAAAGAAGTAGCAGGATGATAATAGCTCTTAGAAAATGTAACAGCAAAATGCATTAGAAGGGACATTGTGTGTTTGGGTGTGTGTCAAGGCAGGGCACCTCTAGCATGTTAGTTAGTTTGTTCACAAAACTAAAAGAAGCATTTGATTTGAAGCTCTAATGCTAGTTTATTATGCTAGTTTAAATGGCAGGACACAAGACCATACGTGTGGTGGTCGGTGTGTAATCATGAGATGTACTTGTTCATTTGTTTCCTAAAGGTACATAAATAAGAATAGAGTTGTGTTCAGGAGTATCAAGCACCTTGGAATTGTTGTTGATTCAGCGAGGATCAAAATGAGTTTGAAATTTCTTGGGTTTTCTTGCTCTCAGTCTTCCTCTCTGGGTCTGTCTGACATTAAAAAAAACAAACACTAATCGACACTTAAGCTTCAGGCGTGGCTTTTCTTGCACCTGAGGACTACCTTTTGCATGAAAACAAGCTAGCTCAGTCATGCTTATTATTAGCGAGCTGTCACAACAAAAGAAACTTTTAGCAGTTCCATTAAGTTAGTTGGCTATAAACAATAATATTTCTAAGTGTTGGGTTTATTCAAAAAATTTACCCTCACTTGATTGTAACCATCATTGCCATAGCCCTATGTTTTCTCTAGGTAATGAGTGAAACTTAGGCATTAGATTTAGTCATTTAACTGTTTGTATAGCACATAATGTTCTGAACACAATTCCCTAATGTTGAACACTAATCACATAAAGAATGGTCTCTTGTCTGTTGGTTATTTTTTGGTTGCATTGAGTTTTATTGTGAGTAACGTGTGGCATCGACAAAAGGCTTCTAAAGTTGTAAGTCAGGCAAAGAAGTACAATGGGAGTTTGACAACACTATTTGCTGTAAACAAATCCTGATTTTGTACTTTTTTCAAATTTGTGTTAATCTGTTATCTTGAAACTTGTAGTAGTTTCTTTCTTCCTCTATTTTTCTTTCTTTGGAAATGTGTTCTTCCTGTTGAGAAATGTAGTGATTTATCAAAAAGTTAATTTTAGGTTTACTCCATTACACTAAGAAAAAAATAATACCTCTACACTAGAATTATGTACAGCTCTTGTGATACATCTTAATGCCTTATTGTACTCAACTGCATTTTAATTCTTTTATGATGAAATATTTCAAATCTTAGTCATGGATTCATTAAGAATATTAATGGGATGTATTTATATTTATATTTTTATATTTCTCAACAGTATGCATGTCTAAAAAATTGTTAGAGCAAAAAAGAATCAATGATGCTTATTACAGTCATAAAAATTATGTTATTTTGTAGATTATGTAGAGATCATGTTATTATTTTGTAATTTGGACAATTTAAAGTAAAAAGAGTAAACGGGCATTGTTTTGTGTGCTGTCTGTTCACCTACATAATGACATTTACATCACAACACAGCCTCTTCGTTGCCACATCCAGCGACTGATATGGACCTCACTTCACAGGCAGTTGTTCATTCTGGATATAGTGTTAGCCAGCCAGATGCTCCAGCCGCAAGATTATAAACAAGTGTTAACAAGATGTATCACAGATTGCTTCGTCTCACGATGAAGAAATGAGCAAATGACCAGGGCTGTGATTAGTTGGTGCTTAATGGTCCCTCAATTAATGATTAATTCACACTTTCTTCATGTATTAATTTATACCCTATGCCACCAAATTAGCTGGAATCGAGTTACATAGGAGAGCATTTGAGTCCAGTGCATTTAATCAGCCACAGAAAGCCAGTCAGTACCAATTCTTCATGGTGCTGCATGACCTAGCAGTCAAGAAACGACCTCTAGTTATGTTGACAAGTCCCAATTAGATTCCTGAAAACCCAGTGAGTCTCCATAAATCAGCTGGCAGCTGTTAAATGTCTGGTTTTCATGCACCATTCTCTTCTGTTGTGTTTAACTTCATTAACTACAACAAAAAAAAAAAAACTCATCCGACACCTTAATTTGTAAATGTGACAAAGACTGCTTGGCTAATGTTTGGACTTTGATAAGATCTTTGAATAAGAGCAGATTGTTATGATATGCATGGGTGTGAATTACTGGATTCCAGAACAGTTTGGTGGCATTAGCTAAAAATGTATGTACTAAGTAACGATAAGTTAACTTTCATTTTTTCTATATTAAGTATTAACTAATGATCATTTCTTAATGGTGAATAGCAGGGATTTTTATGACACACTTTATAAGAGTCGTCTCTTTCAGTGGGCCAACACACATTGATCATTTTACACAGTTACAACAAAAGAAAAGTCTTGATATCAGTATTTCACAATCAGAGCAGGCTTTTTTTTTTTCTACATATGAAAATACTGATGGGCAAAGACCACTTTTCCTATGTGACAGTTTAATAGATACAGTGGGTACGGAAAGTATTCAGACCCCCTTAAATTTTTCACTCTTTGTTCTATTGCAGCCATATGCTAAAATCATTTAAGTTCATTTTTTCCTCAATGTACACACAGCACCCCATATTGACAGAAAAACACAGAATTTTTGACATTTTTGCAGATTTATTAAAAAAGAAAAACTGAAATATCACATGGTCATAAGTATTCAGACCCTTTGCT